TAAGTTAAATCGATATGGTGTTAACACGTGTCCTTCTTATTTTATTTTTTAAAACAAATGTTTTTTATTTATTAAAAATTTAAAATATTATTAATTATAAATTAATTAATTAAAATAATAATAATAATTAAAAAAAAAAAAAAAAACAGCCACCGGCTGTCTGCACTGGACAGCTAGTGGCTATCTTCCTTCTTCACGGTCGTCTAAGGAAGGCGGTCATGGACGTTTGGTCGTCTTCCTTAGACGGCTGTGGCCGGACGGCCACGGTTGTCCGTGAAGAAAGAAGACAACCACCGACTGTCTGGCGCGGACAGCCAGTGGTTGTTTTTTTTTTTTTTTTTTTTTTTTAATTTATTTATAATTTTTTAAGTATTATTATTATTTTAATTAATTAATAAAAAATAATATTTTTAATAAATAAAAATTATTTTAAAAAATAAAATAAGAAAGACACGTGTCAACATCATATCGATTTAACCTGTTAAACAAGTCATATTGGACTTAATTGAACAATTTTACAGGTTTAGGGGACTTGAATGAAGCTTTTTTCACTTAGGGGACCCAATTGCACTATCCACTTGACTTAGGGGGCCAATTTGACACTTTTCTCATTCAACTTTAATACTTTTTGTGAGTGTAATGTATTACATTTTAACTAAAATGTATTATACATTTTATGTGAGGTAGTTTTATACAAGACTTATAAAAAATTATTTATGTTATACGCTTATTCTGTATTTCTTGTTCTATTAATAAAAAAACATTTAGAGATGATTTTTTATTTGAATGGACATAATTCTGTTCTTATATTAAATACTAGTTTTTTACGCGCATTGCGCGATTGGAATAATGCCCAATATTTTTTCTTTTAAATAAGTACTTTAAAGTATATCAAGGCAAGATTATATTTGAATTGTTCATGCATAGATAATTGAATGTTAAATTTGTGTATTTAAATAGGTAATTTAAGTTTACAAATGCAAGATAATATAATAAAGATTGATTATAATTGTCAATAAAATAATTGTATAGGTATGGTTGAAATTAAATACGGGACATAAGGGAGAACAAATAAAAATTATGGCATAAAATATTAAATATATACTAATATTGAAGAGCTAACTTCTAATTGCCAAACAATGATATTGTGAGATAATTTCCCATTTCAATTTGTTGTGTGAGTTGAATACTCTTTTTATCAATAAATCCCCAAGTAGTTAATATGATTGACTTAATTATATTTTTTTTATTTTTTAAAAACAATTATTATTATTATTATTATTATTATTATTATTATATGCATAGGTATTGTTTTTTGTTGTAAATATATAACATTATTTTGTATTTTAACTTTGATATTTAATTAAAAAATAGTGCACAAAAAAGATAATAGACAGTGTAGTGAATATAATCAATTGATGAATTTGAATGTAAAGAATTTTTACATTGGAGAAATATAAAGACAATATAACTAATAAAATTATTTCTCTTAATTAATTTACTGATAAGGAATAATTCTTTTTAATAAAGACATTGTAGAGACAATGTAGCGAATATAATCATTGATAAATTTGAATGTAATTTTTATATTGGAGAAAAATAAAGAAAATAGAATTAATTAAATTATTTCTCTTATTTAATTTATTGATAATGAATATTTTTTTTGAATAAAAACATTGTAGACACATAATTCAAAATTAAAGAAATGCATAGGTATTATTTTTTGTTGTAACTACTAAATTATTATTTTTAATTTAGTAAGAGTAAGAGTATTAATTATGACAATTTTGATTGGGATGAGGTTCGAACCTAAGACCTTTCTTATTGAAATCAATGAGTAAGTTAACGGTGAACTAACAGAAATTAACGGAGAAGATAATATTTAACGAAAAAGTTAACAGATAATCATATAATTAAGGATAAATTAGTAAATCTCAAGAAAAAATTAAAATCTGATCAAATCTGAGCCATTCATTTGATTAAAAAAATTTGACCGCCATTTTTTCTTCTACCTATTAAAGGCCTAACTCTCTTGGACTCTTATTAGTATAGTAGATTTGTTTAATGAATAAAGCGCGTATAACGACTAGCACGACAAGTCTTGGTCTTCTTCCGCACTATAATATATTTGAAATAATTTTAATATTACATCGATTTTCATTACATACTTTGTTTTTTACTCTCTATGTGGTGTTCAATAAAGGGGACCACTATTTTTATTCATTTATTTTTTTATAACTTTTTGAATGCTACTGGCTCTATTATAATGTAGTATGAGAACCAATAACGTCTTTACTGAGACTCGAACTTATAATCTTTCAAATGAAAGTCCAATCTGGATATCATTAGACCATATAGTCCTGATCTATTTATTTACTTTTGTTTTTGAAAGGTATTCATCATTTACTTTTGTGTATTCAATAATATATGTACATATACTAAGAGTTATATTCACTTGGAGTACATTTTACATTTTCCTTTCTTATATATCTTTTAAAGCCTTTTCATTATTGGATTACCTAATTGTTTCATATATGATTGAGAATTTAACTCAATCTAAAGATTTATGACGTTAGATTGTAATATATTTGAAATGATTTATAATTTTATAATTAGTATTATAGTATTTTTAATTTCCATCTTATATATATCTCATTTAATTAAATTTATTTTTTATTGGATTTTTAATTTCCATCTTAAGACTACCAATAGGCAATTAGTCAACACAACAACCATGTTAGGTGTAAATTTTAATGCTCAGTTGGTTATAGCACAAAGTATTAGAACAACCTCATTTTTTTTTGGTAGGAATTAGAAAAACCTCATTAGTATGCATTTACTTGATTTTTTTCGAATCAATGTAGGAGAGAGATGGATCGGAAAGAGAAAAGAAGAAAAAGGATAACAAATAAAAAAGATGTTACCAGGGCTATGTGGTCTAATGGTACTTGGGTTGGACTTCCATTTTCATTTAGAAGATTATGAGTTCAAGACTCAGTGGAGACGTTATTGATTCTTTGTGTTTCAGTAGACAGATACTACAATGTAATAGAGAAAAAAAAAAAAAGATGTTTCCTTGAAATTTCATGACTCCTTCCATTCAATTTCTGTCCTTACTCTCCTGACTTTGGTGACTCTCTCTCTCTCTGTTCTCTATCTGCATCTAGGCTACTGCTAACTGAATTCTAGTTTCAAAACACAAACCATAGTTGCTGTGCTGCAGGTATGCATATATTCTCTTGACTAAATAGATGAATTTTTTTATATTTCCTCTGCAGCAAATGTTTGTTCGATCTGAAGCATTAACTTTCGAAAAATTCTTGATTTTCATTCAATAAAAAATTTATATATATACCTGCTCAAAAAACATTGGAATTTGCTGACTGTGACTCACACCTATTTAGTATAAATAATTTCAAATTTAAAATATATATGCTAAATTTTAAAACTTTTTATTCTTAATTATACATAAGTTAACAAAAAAAAAGAGTTAATATGCTCTCTCTAGCTCTTTCTTCTAAGGGTCCGTTTGGAAAGTAGGAGAATGACTTCTGAAAAATGAGTCATTTTCCGGAAAACATTTTTCTTTCCAGTGTTTGGTTGCATTATGGAAAAATGTTTTTGTGTGTTTGGTTCATTTTCTGTAAAATGAGTAGAATTGTATAATTAAACATTTTAATTGTTTTATTTAGAGTATTACAACATGTATAATACTATATAATAATAAAATAAAAAAAATAACTAATAATATATAAAAAATATTATGGTGGTATGGTAGTGGTGGTGGTGGTGGTATAGTGGTGGTGTAGTGGTAGTGGTGTTATTTGTTATAATAATAATAATAATAATAATAATAATAATAATAATAACTGCTGGTGGTGGCGGCGACGACAACGGTTGCTGTGGTATGGTGGTGGTGGTATCGGGGGCGATGGTTGTGGTGGTATGGTCGTGGGGGCGGCGGCGGTGGTGGTAGTTGTGGTGGTGTTCTGGTGGTGGTATGGTGGTGGTGGCGGCGACGGTGGTTGCGGTGGTATGGTGGTGGTAGCGGCGACGGTGGTAGTGGTGGTATGATGTTGATGTTGGTGGTGGTGGTGGTATGGTGTTGATGGTGTTGGTAGTGGTGGTGTTGTGGCGATGGTTGCGGTGGTATAGTGGTGGTGGCGGCGGCAGTAGTGGTGGTGATGGTAATAGTGAGGTGGTGGTGGTATGGTGTTGATGATGTTGGTGGTGGTGTGATGTTGGTGTAAAAGTTGAAAAATGACTTCCCAAAAAAAAGGGAAGTCATTTTCCTCCAAAACAAGCTTATTTTTCAAAGTCAACAGAAAATGATTTCCGTTGACTTGATTTTCCAGGCACATCCAAACAATAGAAACTTGGAAAATGATTTCCAGAACTCATTTTCCAGGTTTTCAAACACACCCTCAATTTATTTGGTAAAATTATTTTTATTGAGTTTTAATTAATTCTTGCACAATCTATATCTTCTTCTTCTAAATTTATTTGTTAAAATTATTTTTATTGAGTTTTAATTAATTCTTACATAATTTATATTTATTTTTCAGATTACTTTTAACTATTCGATCTGGACTCATAAAGGTATGCATAATTGTTATATTCTTCTTAATTATATTTGCTTAGGTGTTTGTAGACATCAGTAAAACTCCTACGCCTATTGAAAATGAATACATCCAGCCCAGTTGCCTTTTTAGGTTTTCTGTACCAAAAAGGTTAATCAGCATCATACTCTATTTTTAAACTTTATTTTACAAAATATTTAAAACTACGTTATTTGAGTATTGAAGATACACCATTTTGTATATTATTAAATAATGTATATTTAGTACATCTTTATTATATTAATTTTTTTTTTTTAAATTTATGAATCACAACAAAATTTCTTGACGTAGACAAGTCTCGGTCATCCAACTAGATATGTGGCATAGGATTCGATCTTATAGTAATTTCTTTAGTACAGTAATTGACTTGGAAACATTCTTGACCCACTGGTAGAGTGGTAGGTACCATCCATACACATAATTTGTTTGTCAAAAGAAAAAATGCCATTATTATTTCTCATTGTGCACATATAAGACAATAGAAATTGTACAGTACCTACAGAAACAGCAAATAAGTACTCTAGCTTGGGGGTTTCTTTGAAGTTTCTTTGTTCCTTTCAATGAATTTCTCAGGTCACTTTTTTTTTTTTCTTTTTTTTTTTTTGAAGAGCCCTGGTGACTTTGTTGTTAATTAATTTATTTTAAGCTAAGAAAATTTTAAGTATATCTCTCTCTCTGTGTGTTAGGTTTTTGGTCTCTTCATTGCTGTTAAGCTACCGTTAAGTTAAATCCTTCCAGTTTCTAAAGGCAAATTATGGCTGTTGCGCTGCGGGCCGGTATAGATCTATTCTGGACTCTTAAAGGTATGTAGACAATCATGTTGCATCATACTTATTAATTTATTTTATTTTAGAAGGCCAGTGAGTATTTGTATATTTGTATGCATTTTATTTTGAATATGAATTGAACATTTTAGTTATTTAAATGATATTTTTTTTCAATTCCATGATCTAACCAAACATAAAAATATGATTCCTTATATAATCTCATGTTTATTACCATTTCCGTTTTTCTTGGATTTATAATCTATTTCTTTTTATTTTTATTCTTTTGAACCAAACATCACATTATATATTACACTTGTAGCGTCTAGATCATACACTTTTATTCTTTGAAATGTGTAATCGTAACATATATTTTTGCTATGCACTTTTATCATTTTATAGTTTAACTATTTATTTTTATCATTCTTATAAAGTATTTTTAATTATGGTATATTGCAATTTTACATTTCTTATAGTATATATACATATATCCCATTTTTGTATTCTAATATTTCTCAGTTTCCTAATAATTTAACATATTTCAGGCTTATAGCTGTTAAATTTTCAGTTTTCAATTAGGCATGCAAAACAGGGGTGTGTAATCCAATTTAACACTTTAGTGCTTTCTTGTTTGTTCAAATTACTCATTTTGTTGGCCATTGCTTTTTCTTGGTAGACTCAATGGAGCAGATACTCACGTTACTTAGTAACTTTGAAGGATATATGGGTTTTGATGAAAATCTGAAAACTCTAAAAGATGAAGTAGATCAACTTCACACGGAAGCGAATGACATGGAAGCAAAGTTGAAGAACTTAGAAAGAGGGGGACAAAGGAAAAGGAAACAAGGAGTCGAGGGTTGGCTTCAGCGAGTAAATAAGTTGGAAACAAACTTTGAAACATTCAAGGAAAGCATACAAGGTGCGGGATTCATAATGAAAAATGCTCGGAAGTTAATAAAAGTACAAGAACTCGAAGGGATGACAGAAAGCGTCAAAAAGCTTAGAGAAGAGGGCAGAAATAATATTGTTGAACCTACACTGGATGTGAGTACGGCCACATAATTTGTTTTTAAAAAGCAGAGTAGCTAATCATTCAATCCTGCAACTATATATAAGTATATAACTTGTCATCAATTTTTTCATTTATACTAAACTAGATGTTAAAAGTAAATAAATTATTATTGGGTCAAGAGAAGATCAAAACTAAAAGATGACAATGATTATTGTTATGAGTTAAATAGTTTTATTTATGGGATTTAATATATTACATCTTTTTTTGAGAAATTATATTACATCTTTTCTTAATTAAGTTAGCAAATACTCGATTCTTCCAATTTAATTATTTGTCTTACTTTTCTTTTTATTCTATCTAAAATAATGTATATTTTTAAAATTTAAACACTTCTAACCTTTTGCTTTTTTAAAAATTTATCCTTTGTTCTTTTTAACTTTTAAGGTGGTTCTAACTCACTACTTTTTAAAAAGGTAAATTTTAAAATAATATTAGACTTATTTATTTTTTAGAAAATGATATTTCACTTGGTTCTTTATATATAGAGAGCACCATTTGAACTCAATTTTCTCTGTAAAATAATAATATATTGAATAACATAATCATAAAATGAAAGATAAATATAGTTTACTTAAAATGATAAACATGTCAATTTTTAATTTCTTTATATGGATTGTTTGAGTTAATCTTCTGAGCATTTCTTCTATATTCACAAATGAGTTAATCTTCTAGGCATTATTTGGCTCATATTTGACTCAGAACCCTAGATAGTGTAGTGGTGTCTACTGAGTAGTATGAGTACCGTAACTGAATGTGCTATATCATCAATTATCTTGTATCCCATCAATTCAGGATTATATTAGGCATAGAGTTTTGTGGACTAACAACTTCTAGTTATTCAGTCCAACCAGGCCACTTAATAAGCATAGTCAACTTGTACCACTTAATTAAGGACCTAATATATATAATATAATATATATTATTGGGGAAAATCTTACACATTGTTGATTGTTGAACGAAGTTAATGCAGGAGGCAATGGTGAACGAAATTAATGCAGGAGGCAATGGTGATTAGGGATGATTATTGTAGCCGAAAGTTGTTACTGTTCAATTTGGAGTAGATACTTTGGAGTTCTCTCATGTTGTTTGTTAATGATACTCTATATTTGTTTCTCATTATGTTTTCTAGCCGTCACAATTTTTATCTACTTCAATTTGAGTTTCAATAATTCAAAAGAACGAACTCTTCTAATACTTATTTCTACATATTTTTAGTGGACTATTTTATTGTGTATTGGTATCAATATAGTACTCATTGCTTCAAGAAAAAAAAATGAATAAAATATGTTTCAAATCTTTTATAGAATGTTGATTTCTTACTTCTACCTCTTAAATTTCCAATGAATTATTCATTGCATTTTAGCTCAATCTATTAAATCCTGTACAATTATATATTTTCCCACGTACTATACTTTACTTTTGGCTTTTTTTTTTCTTAAATATGCTTTTAAGAATTTGTTTAGCATAAATTATTGATATATAAATAATGCATAAGCACGTACAGTGCAAGTCATATAATGCAAATGTTAGAAAAATATGCATGGTTCAAGTTATACAATAAGGGAGAATTTTTATGTTACATAATTATATGTTACACCCCTAAGGGAGAATTTCTATGTTACATAATTATATTCATCAGCTTTGAAATTCGAAAAAGCTGTGGAATATTAAATAAAAAGATACCATGCAATAATAATCCCGCCGAAAATCTTGACAAACCAGCGACCAAGTTCTCCACCTTTGAGCCCACCCACAACGGCCGGAAACCACCCAAAAGGCCAAAATGATATGGTAATTGGAAAATCATTTATAAATTTATATGTAGTACTTTAGTATTTTTTTTTTTTTTCATCTTATCTCATTTGTTTTATTTTCCTTTTTACTGGATTTTCAACACTAGCTCAATTTGGTGACAAATGAAAATATGATAATACTAAAGACTAGCATATTATTTTCATAAGATGTTAGTAAATTATGAAGTCTAACAATTAGTCATTTAATCCATTACAACAACCAAGTTACATGAAAAATTTAAAGCTGAATTTAATATTGCATAGAGTACGTATTACTTAATAATTACCCAACGGTGACAAGTTGGCCCACATGTTTCTAATTGATAAATTATTCTGCGGATTCGGGGTCCACCTTGAAAAGTAAATCCGGGTTAAAAATACAGAATTTACATATAAAATACTTACAATTTTATAAAAAGATAAATTGTGAACATTTAATATGTAAATTGTAACATTAAGTATGTAATTATGTATGTAAATTGTGAACATTCAGTAATTAAATTGTGTATTTTAGATCCAAATCTACCTTGCAAGGTGATGATAATGCATTCTTCTTCTCATAAATTTGTTACATATTCGGTAAAATATTCAAATAACATCTTGCTTGGGGATATTAGGTAACCCTCTTGGGGTTGAATTGAAGGTGCAAACTTAGCTTATTATAACTACTCATTCAATAAAAGTAGTGTGTCGTAGATTTACCAAAAATATAATCGTTCAAAATTGATGTTCTCAATAATAATGAAGCTTATAATTTGTTTAAGAAAATTTTATTACAACATTATAATACTAATTAAACTCACTGTTATTAAAATAGCTAGGAAAGTTTTGAACAAAAGAAACTAAAAAGAAATACTTCCCCATCATTGCTACAATACTATTTTGACCATTACTACAACTAAACATACTAATAATATGCATTCAAAAAAAAAAAAATACTAATAACATCAATTATGTTTAAATGTATCCACCTCACTATAAATTAATAAAGAACTTATGCAATAATCAAATATAACTTTTAACTTTTAAGATAAGACTTGATATTTCTCCTGTGTCCTTTATTTTATACACTAAAAGGACAAAAAAAAAAAAAAAAACATAATAGGCAGCTAACTGTGCAAACAAATGTATGTCATTGACCAAAACAACTACGTATTATAATTAATTTTGTAAAATTTGGTCCACACTAGCCTCAATGAGTTTTTTATGTTATAGTACAAAGGTATCACTCACAACTTTGTTGGTTCACATGTACATAGTCGGTCCCTTGTATCAATTATTTGTTCAAGTTATGCTCCTTATCTTCTTGCTGGATATTTCTTTAATGTCTAATTTAATTAATACAATAATCTCCTATAAATCTTTTAAAACTTTTTTTTGTTATTAGCTTAATTACTTATATTTCATATATGATTGAGAATTTAGTCTAACTTATGGAATTATAATGTTAGGCTGCAGTATATTTGAAATAATTTATAAATTTAGAGTTAATTCCATTTTTGGTCTTAAATTTTTATAGGTAACAATCCACTTTTAGTCATTTTTTATTAGAACATCCTCATTTGGTCCTAGTATTATTGGGGCATGACCATTTTTAGTCTTCTATCAACAAAATCACTGAAATATCGTTAAATACAAAAACATTTCAATCTTTTTATACAAAGTAAGTTGAACAGTTATATTATTTATGTTTTTTGTTTTTTTGAAAATATCCATAATTGAATATCAAAATATCATTGTATTTAACATATTTAAATTGTTTTGTTGAAAAGGGACAAAAAATGATCATGCCAGGATAATATATACTAGGACCAAAAGTGAGTGTTCTAATTAAAAAATGTCTAAAAGTGAACTGTCACCTATAAATCTAGGACCAAAAATGGAATTAACTCTATAAATTTATATGTAGTATTTGTAATTGTAATTTTCCATTTCATCTCATTTGTCTTATTTTATTTCTTTTTACTGGATTTTCAATAGTTAATTTGGTGAAGAATCGAAACATGATAATGCTAAACAATGTCATATTTTTATTTTCATATGATGTTAGTAAATTATATATGTTCAAAATTAGGAATTGTAACATTAGTCACGTAGTCAACACAACCAAATTAGGTGCAACTTTTAAAGCAAAATTGGTTATAACACAAAATAATTTTCAAGCTATAACTAGTTGCCCCACATGTCCATAATTTGTGTATTGAAACAAACAAATTAAATGGTGATGATGATACATTCCTCTTTTAAATTTATCATATAATAATTACTTTTTAAGTTGGCATGCAGTTTTTGAATAGCTTCTTTTTTTGTATGTGATTATTAAATGAATTTCTTGTTTAAGTAGTAGTGGTCGAATTGATTAATGAATAGTAATATAATTAAAGAATATGAAGAATTTTATTGTTACTTAATGGATATTTAGATGAGGATTGTATTGATTAACATAACCGAATAATAGTCTGTACAATACTAATATAGAAGACAAGTATAAAGAGTTCTACTAGACTACTAATACTAGAGTCCTAACACTCCCCCTCAAGCTCAAGGTGGAGCATTCGAAATATTGAGCTTGTCCCGAAGCAATGAAAACCGAGCAGATGCAAGTGGCTTGGTGAAAATATCAGCTAGCTGGTCCTTCGTGGAAATAAAATGAACCTGCAACTCCTTCTTGGCAACCTTGTCTCGAACAAAGTGATAATCGATTTCAACATGCTTAGTTCGTGCATGAAAAACCGGATTAGCACAGAGGTATGTTGCTCCCAGATTATCACACCACAGCCCCGGCGCAGCGTCTGGAGGAAAGCCAATTTCGCGCAGCAAAGAAACCAACCACGTGACCTCCGCCGCCACATCAGCCAGTGCCTTATATTCGGCCTCAGTAGAGGACCGCGCCACTGTCCGCTGCTTCCGACAAGACCAGGCAATTAAATTGGACCCCAAGAAGACGGCAAACCCACTCGTAGACTTTCGGTCATCCGGATTACCTGCCCAATCCGAATCCGAGAACGCATGCAATGCAAGAGACTCCGACTTGCGAATACAGAGACCCATACCAAGAGTGCCTTTCACATACCGCAGAACACGCTTCATAACCGCCCAGTCCGCAGTGGTGGGCGACTGCATGCGTTGACAAAGCCTGTTAACTGCATAAGACAAATCCGGCCTAGTCACCGTCAGGTACTGAAGTGCACCTGCAATGCTACGGTAGTGAGTAGGATCAGCAAACGGAGTAGAATCATCAACATCAGACCGAGCCACCGAAATAGGTGTAGAAACCGGTTTACAGTCAACCATGCCTGCACGTCTAAGAATATCCTGTATATAACGCCGTTGAGACAGAAGAATACCATCAGATAGTGACATCGTCTCAATGCCAAGAAAGAAAGACGGGGGTCCCATGTCCCGAATCTTGAATGTACGCGCAAGCTGAGCCACAAGCCCATCAACATGGCTCGAGTCCGATCCCATGACCAAAATGTCATCCACATACACAAGAAAGTAAAGCTGCACACCACTGACAGAATATATAAACAACGAAACGTCCGTCTTGGACGGAACGAAGCCAACAGAGATCAGGAAGTCATGCAATCGGGTAAACCAGGCACGAGGGGCCTGCTTCAGTCCATATAATGAACGCTGTAGATGGCAAACATAATCAGGAACAGACTTGTCCTCATAACCAGGCGGCTGACGCATATACATTGTCTCTGCCAGGTTACCGTTCAGAAAAGCGTTGTGGACATCCAGCTGACGAATGGACCAACCACGGGAGTGAGCAAGTGACAGAAGAAGGCGAACCGTGGTTGGCTTGACCACCGGACTGAAAGTCTCAAAGAAATCCTTACCAGCGACCTGATTGAAACCTTTGGCCACCAGACGAGCCTTATGTCGCTCAATAGACCCATCAGCATTCCGTTTCACCCGAAACACCCACTTGCAACCCACAACATTCATACCTGGAGTGTACGGGACCAGAGTCCAAGTCTGGTTGTGTAGGAGAGCATTAAACTCAGCATCCATGGCCTCACGCCATTCCGGATGCGCCACAGCCTGAGAGTAACATGTCGGCTCGGGTGTTGTAGTGGCAGAAACGAGAGCCACATGCTCCTGCGGGCCCCGACTCCTTGTTGCCATAACATGAGAGGGCGGACCTGCCACCTTGTTCTTACTACCACGAGGTCGACCCCGAGAAGCTTTAGGGACAGCCGAAACGGTCCGTTCAGTGGAGACAGAGTCAGCCGGACCCGCGGGCATATCCAGAACCGGTGTATCATCGACAGGCTCCATAACTGAAGAGGAGACAGGCACGATGGGGGCA